CCCACAGGGAGGGGAGCCCCGAGGCCAGCATGGGGACCCCTCTCTCGCAGCGGGACAGGTGTGCGTGGGCCCTCTGTGCAAAGCTGACCACCAGCATTCAGCACGCAGCACATAGCGGGGGACTGGGACCTGGTGACAGGCAGGACGAGGCCACTGCTCCTGGGAGGGGGCGGGCACGTGTGCAGACCCAGCGGCAGGGGCACGTGAATCTGATGGGAGCCGGGGGAGGATCCCTGGGGAGAGATTTGGGCTGGGGTTTGATGGCTAAGTAGGAGTTCACCTATGGCCCTAGGGGCGGGGCCCGCCTCCTGGCTCCTGGGACCCCTGCTGACACCAGAGTCAGAAGGCAGAAGAACTTCACCCCAGAGCTGAGGAGTGGGGGGCCCTGCGCACGCAGTGGGCACTCTGGGGCCCCCAGTCCTGCACAGGCTGCCCCTGCCCAGGCAGCCCAAGGATTAAACAGACTTTGTTGGGATTACTGCTGCCAATCAAGTTCAAGTGCATTTTTAAGAGCTTAATTTGCGGCCCTGGGTTTCAAATAAAATCATCAAGTCCAGTCGATTAAACTCATTAAGGCAGCCGGACTGGCTGGCGTTCGCGCCACCGTCAGATTCGGAGAATTAATTAGGGGCCTGTTATCCTTTGTCGGGATTAGCAGGGCCAGCCCAGAGGCTCGGGGTTTCACTAAAAGGCGGCCCGTAATCTCTTTAGTGGGGCCCCAGGAGACAGCTCTTGAGAGGCTCCTGTGAAGCAGGAAGTGCCGTGCTGGGCATCTCTGATCCTCTCCCGCAGTCCCAGGAGCCGGGGGGAGGGAGTGGGAGACTCCAGGGAGCCCGTCCTGGGTGGCGCTTCAGGTCACGTGCGGCACACCGTCCTGACCTCAGACCTGGGAGGAGGGAGGCCTGTGTGGAGAATGTCTCTGGGCTCCTTTGCTTTTCAAAAGTGCCCCACACCCCAACGGGTGGGATTTCAAGCTTCTATCTTGTTAACTCGGCCATGTGACCAAACTTGGTGCCAGGAGCATCCTGATCCCTTGGGGGGCTGGTTTCTGTGAAGAGCCGGTCAGCGCACTCCCGGGACCTGGTATCGTTGTCGTTTAGTCACTGCCTTGTGGCTGACTCTTTGCAACTCTATGAACTGCGGCACACCAGGCTCTTCAGTTTTCCACTGTCTGACAGAGTTTACTCTGACTCATGTCCATCGAGTTGGTGATGCCATCCAACCAACTCATCCTCTGTCATCCCCTTCTCTTCCTGCCCTCAATCTTTCCCAGCATCAGGGTCTTTTCTGATGAGTCTGCTCTTCACATCAGGTGGCCAGATTATTTGAGTTTAAACTTCACAATCACTTCTTCCAATGAATATTCAAGACTGATTTCCTTTAGGATGGACTGGCTGGATCTCCTTGCAGTCCAAGGAACTCTCAAGAGTCTTCTCCAACACCACAGTTCAAAGGGGCATCAATTTCTTTCATGCTCAGCCTTCTTTATAGCCTAGGGTTAAACCGTAGACTGGAAGTGCTGGGCCAGGCAGGCACTGCCTGAAACATAAGCCAGCCTGGAGGAGGATGGTGACAGAGATGATGCTGGGTGAGCACCTGGATCAATCCAGACCTGAAACTGCTCCTTGGACTTTTTGGTTACATGAACCAGTCTGTTCCTCCTTTCCTGCTTATGCCAGTTGAAACCAAATCAGCCAAGATCTCAGGTGTCCGGCCTTCCATGTGTTGGAGCTGGGCAGGACTAGAGAGGAACTTCAAAGTCCTCCCATTTCGTTTGTGGGGAAACTGAGGGCAGAGAGCCAGACGTGACCGTGAGTGGGTGGAACTCGGTTGCAGAGGCAGTAGTGCCAGTAAACCAACTCAAAGTGACCCAAGAAAAGGGGGGCCCCGGGCAGAAAGGGAGAGGCCTTGGGGGTGTCCAGAGCAACGGCTTCTGTTGGGCCCCCAGGCCTCTCTGCATCCCTTGGCTCTGCTCTGGTAGGTGCCCCCTCCTTGCCCCCCACCCCCAGCCAAGCCAGTGCCCAGCTGTGGTTTCTTGAGTCACTCCAGCAAATAAAGAAAGTGGGAAACTTCCTCTTTCCGACAGCTGCCACCAGTGTCCCAGGATCATGCCTTTTGGCTCTGACAGGACCATGTCCCTGTGGTCAGATGCCAGCTCTACTCAAGAAAACACAGCCCCTGACTAGCCAGGCTCGATCACACCCAGGAACTGGGGGTGAAGGCCCGAGGCTTGGGGGACTCCATGAATGTCTGGGGCAGCTGCTATGCATGCCAGACAGGCAGAGACCATGGAAACTCTGAGAACCATGGGGGGAATACCTGACGCTTGGAGGAGAGGGAGGGGTCTTCTCAGCAAAGCGGGGTCCGGGTGGGGGGTGTCCCCGGAGCAGGGAGCAGTTACAGAGGCTGAGGCATCGAGGGTCTTGGGCTGGAAAGCAAGCTGCCAACTGTGAGGTCCTCCTTCAGTCAGGCCACCTTTGGGGCAGGTGGGCACCCTGGGGCCCTCTCTGCCAGGCACCCAGGCAGGACGGGGCGCCCGCTTCAGTGAGAGAGGTGGGCCGACAGGTGTGCAAAAGACTTTCTACGTGCGTCACAAGTGCCGGGGTCTGGGGCAGGTGAGGGACTGGCAGGAAGGACGGGCTGGCCTGAGTGGGCAGGTTGAGGTTGGCAGAGGGCCTGGGGACCCAGGATGCCGCTGAGCTGCGGGGGACACTCCCATCCCTGGGGCCCCCGGACCTGGGGTGCAGACTGCAGAGGAGCCCAGCTGTGATCCGCCCGCGCCCCGGCTCCCTGGGCCCCGAGAGCCCCAAGCACGATCCGAGAGCTCAGCTCAGCTGGGTGAGGCCCTTGCCTGATGCCCACGTTCGGATCCAGCTCTCAAGCGTGTTCCCTCTGCTGCCTGGCCCATCCTTGCTGCAGTGGGGCGCGGGGCTGGAGGGTGGGCAAGGGCAGCGTCCCACAGGGCCGGCCCCCACCCAGAGGCTCCCCTCGCGCCCCTCCCCCATTCTCCCCCAGGCCCTTTCCTCTCCGCTGATCAATAGGCCTGGACTGATGGCTTCCTTAGCAACCTTCCCACAGGCAGCTGCCCTGGGTCAGCCTGCTTTCCCCTCCGAAAGCTGGCTCCTCGAAGGCCCTGCAGGCACCTCCAGCGCCAGGCTGAGGGCTGGGGGTCCAGGCCACCCTTGGCCACGTGGGTGATGCTGCCAGGCTGCCTGGGAGCCCAGCACTGTGGGCGGCCTGCGGGCAGTCTGGGCTCACAGGCTGCAGGGGTGTGGGGGACGCCGGCCTGAGTGGGCGTCCGCACTGGGCCAGAGCAGGGGGCAGCCCCAACATGCGGTCCCCAGTGACTGGGCACCGGCCAGTCCGCACAGGCACTGGCGGAGCCCGTGAAACAGGCCGGACTGCGCTCTGCCCACAGACACCCATCCAGGCACCATGCTCTGTCCACAGGCGTCCATCCAGGTGCGGAGCCCGGAGCCTGGCGAGCCCCATCTGCGGGCTCTGACGGCCCCCAGAGCCATGGGCCCCCTCCCCCGGGGGAGGTCACCATCCCTGGTCTCCCTTTGGGCCCTCCCCCCCTCCACAGTTACCTTTGCAGCCCAAGCCAGACACTGTGTCCTGTATCCTGTGATTTCTCCGTCTCAGTTTGGGGCTCACAGTTGGACTTCTGTGTGAAACTGAAAGTCACTCGGTTGTGTCCGACTCTTTGCGATCCCACGGACTATGCAGTCCATGGAATTCTGTAGGCCAGAATACTGGAGTGGGTAGCCTATCCTTTCTCCAGCGGATCTTCCCGACCCAGGAATCGAACTGGGGTCTCCTGCATTGCAGGCGGATTCTTTACCAGCTGAGCTACCAGGGACTTCTGTGTAGTTTGCATAAAAATCCCAATTTCTGGCTTCCCTTAAACCACGGGAAGCACTCGTTTGGCTTGGCACTTGGGGCACCAGGCGGGGTTGTGGGGGTTGGCCCTGCAGTGCTTCACCCTGACTGCATGGAGGCCTCTTGACCCTTTGTGGGCTGGAGGAGGCCCAGGGCCCTGGAGGGGAGTCCTGGGAGGGGAATCCCAGGGGGGGAGGCCCAGGAGGGGAGTCCCGGGGGTGGGGGCAGCCAGCACCTTGAGTGGCAGATGCTTCTCCTGACCCCCAGTCCCTGGGAAAGCCTCCTGCACCACATTGAGCACCCAGCAAGGGGGGGTTCAGGAAACTTCCAGCTTCTTTCCCTCCACCTGCCCCAGGGGAGCGAGGTGCTGGGGGAGGTCCACCTGTAAACTCACTGGGCCTCTGAGCCCAGGGGTCTGACCTGCCCTGCAGTGACCACTGCCCTGAATGCCCTAGGCCGAGGCCCGGGGGGTGTGCCCCCCCAGCCCTCCCTCTGGGAAGCCGCTGGCCAGGTCAGGCAGGCAGTGGGAAGACACCCTCGCATCTGAAGGCTGAGGTTGCCCTTGTAGCTGAACCAAACCTACTGACCCTGCGCTGCGGTGAGGGAGAGGACCCTATTTTTCGCGAGGCCACGCAAGATCGGGCTGCTCACCTCTGAGGACACTGTCTCCCTGGTGCTTCTCGGGAGAGTTTTTACAGGCAGGTGGGGGCGAGGGACTGCAGGGGGTGTGAGCAGCTCGTGCCAGTACCCCAGGCTGGCTGGCAGCAGGGTGACACCTGTGCACCCCCAGCCTCCTGGTGTCTGCCAGTCTGGGGTCTGTGTGCTTGCTGTCAACACCTTTCATCTGGAGGGGGTCTCCTTCCTGTGAAGACCATTTAGGAACGTGTGTCAGGACCTTATCTGTGCCTTTCGGGGAAGCAGGAGTTTGGGGGGTGGGCCCCCACAGCTCAGCCCTGCTGTGGGTGGGTGGGGGTGGGTGCCCCTCGCTGCCCCCTCAGTGGAATAAATATTGAATTATTTCATTTGATAATTCCTCACTGGAAGGCAGGCCACCCCCCAGGGTGCTTGGCGGGTCTTTCCTTGTCAGGAGCTTGCAGAGAGGTTTAATTACTACCTACCCGAAGCCCCCGGGGCACTGGCCCAGCCTGGCCACACCCCAGGCTTGACAGGCTTTAACTAGGAACGAATCGCTCTCGGAGCCCCGCTCAGCCGTCTGCCTCCCACTGGCGGGCAGAGCTGGCTGGCACGGCCTCCGCTGGGTGGTCAGCTGGCTGTCCAGGGGCGGCAGGGGGCCTGCGCCTTGACGCTGATGGACAGGGGGTAGCAGTCAGCACGTGGGGCTGGTTTGGGCCAAGCTGTTGTGTGGTTCTTTTCTTTTTTAATAAAATAATTTTATGTATTATTTTCTTTATTTTTGGCTGTCCTAATATTATATTAGGTCCAAATATGTGTGTCCAAATACTGTGTTTAGTCTTGGTGGCCACATAGGGTTTTCTCTTGGTCATGGTGAGCAGGGCGTCCTCTCTGGCGCCCGCTCCTGAAGACCCGCCTCGACGGCACTCAGAGCGAACACAGGCCACGGAGGCACCCGCTCCTGAAGACCCGCCTCCTTTTGCATCGCCCATCTTCCTTTCATCCTTGGCACCCGTTCCTGCCAGAGCTAGCTCTGGGGGTATCCATGGTGGTCCTGAACGCCGGAGTCTTACCCACTGGGCAGCTCAGCGTGGGGGTTGAGCCCATGAGCTCGTGACTGTGCCCTTGGGCAGGTCAGCAGGACAACCCAGGGGTGTCCTCACCCCACCCCCTGCGGCCCCCGGGGAAGCACACAGCTTCCTTGCCCTGCAGCCCACCGTGGGCAGTGCTTTTTCTTTTCTCCATTAAAAAATGATCTTTTGCCCCCTGCCACCCCACAGCATGTGGGATCTAGTTCCCCGACCAGGGACTGAACCCAGGCCCCCTGCATCTGCAGTGCTGAGAAACCCCTGGGCTACCTGGAAAGTCCTGGCAGTTGTTTTTTTAAATTTGCTTATATTACTTTTTTTTTTTTGGTATGATTCTCTCTTATTACCTCTTTTAGTTCTTAGATTTATTTCACTAAGGATATATTGTGTAATTACTGTTTCTTAAAAAAAAATTTTAATTGTAGTTAAATTCACATAATGTAAAATTTACCGACCTTGCTATTTTTAAGTGTACAGTTCACTAGTGTTAAGTGCATTCATATTATAATGTGGCCAATGTTTAGGACTCTTCATCTTGTGAAACTGAAACCCTGGCCCTGTTAAACACTAACTCCCCGCCCCTCTGCCAGCCCCGGCCACATCTCCACTCCCTGTCTCTATGGATTTGACTCATCTAGGGGCTGCCTGTCAGCGGAGCCAGACAGTGTCTGTCCTTTTGTGGCAGGTTTGCCTCCCTGCTCCGTGTCCTCATGCTGCCCCATGTGTCGGAATGTCCTCTCTTCTTAAGGGCTGAGCAGCATTTTGTTGCTTGAGTGGTCACCCTTTGCTTATCCATCTGTTCCTCCATGGACACTTGGCTTTTGTGAATATTGCTGCTATATCAACATGGGTGTCTAAATATCTGAATCCCAGTGTTCAGTTCTTCTGGGTATGTACTCAGAAGCTCTGCATCGTATGGCAATGCTATGTTTAGTTTTTGCAGACCCTTCATATGGTTTTCCACAGAGGCTGCACCCTTGCACATTCCATCAGCAGTGCCCAGAGGTTCCAGTTTCTCCACATCCTCCCCAGCACTTACTTCCTCCTCCTCCCTCCCTCTCCCCCTTCCCTCCTATCTGTTGATAGTGCTCATCTTCTCATCTTAATGGTTGTGAGTTGACATCTCTTTATGGTTTTAATTTTCATTTCTCTAATAACTAGCACCTCTTCATGGGTCACAGCCTCATCATGGCAGAGGGACTTGCAAAACTCAATGAAGCTATGAGCCACCCACGATAGGTCATAGTGGAGACTTCTGATAAAACGGGGTCCACTGGAGGAGGAAATGGGAAACCACTCCATTATTCTTGCCTCGAGAACCCCGTGGACAGTGTGAAAAGGCAAAAAGATGTGACACCAGAAGATGAGCCTCCCAGGCCATAAAGTGTCCATAATGCTACTAGGGAAGGATGGAGGGCAATTACTAATAGCTCCAGAAAGAATGGAGTGGCTGGGCGAAAGCAGAAGTGATGCCCAGTTTTGGACGTGTCTAGTGGTGAAAGTAAAGTTTGTTGCTGTAAAGAACAATATTTCATAGGAACCTGCAATGTTAGGTCCATGAGTCTAGTAAATTGGACATGGCCAAGCAGGAGACGGCAAGATTGAACATCAGCATCTTAGGAATCAGTGAACTAAAATGACAGAAACGTGTGAATTTAACTCACACGTTTATTTAACGTTATAGCTACTACTGTGGGCAGGAATCCCTTGGAAGAAATGGAGTAGCCCTCATAGTCAACAGGAGTCCAGAATGCATTATGTGGGTACAACCTCAAAAACGACAGAATGATCTCAGTTTTTTTCCAAGGCAAACCATTGAACATCATGGTATTCCAAGTCTCTGTGCCAACCATTGATGTTGAAGAAGCTGAAGTTGACTGAGTCTATGAAGACCTACAAGACTCCCTAGAACTGACGCAAAAAAAAAAAAAAAAAAAAGATGTCCCTTTCATCATAGGAGATTGAAATGCAAAAGTAGAAAGTCAAGAGATACCTGGAGTAACAGGCAAGTTTGGCCTTGGAGTACAAAATGAAGCAGGGCAAAGACTAACAAAGTTTTGTCAAGAGAACACACCGGTCATAGCAAACACTTTCCCCAACAACCCAAGAGATGGGTTGAGATGTGTAGAGTCCAAGAGATGACTCTACACATGGACATCACCAGAAGGTCAATACTGAAGTCAGATTGATTATATTCTTTGTAACAGGAGATAGAGAAGCTCTATACAATCAGCAAAAACAAGACTGGGAGCTGACTCTGGCTCAGATCATAAGCTCCTTATTGCAAAATTCTATCTTCAGTTGAAGAAAGTATGGGAAACTAATAGGCCATTCAGGTGTGACCTAATCAAATCTCTTAGGATTATACAGCAGAGGTGATAGATTCAAGGGATTATATCTGGTATACAGAGTGCCTGAGAACTATTTAGCATTCTTACCTCGAGAACCCCATGAACAATATGAAAAGGCAAAAAGATAGGGCACTGAAAGATGGACTCCCCAGGTCGGTAGGTGCCCAATATGCTACTGGAGATCAGTGGAGAAATAACTCCAGAAAGAATGAAGAGATGGAGCCAAAGCAAAAACAACACCCAGTTGTGGATGTGACTGGTGATGGAAGCAAAGTCCAATGCTGTAAAGAGCAATATTGTATAGGAACTGGAATGTTAGGTCTGTGAATCAAGGTAAATTGGAAGTGGTCAAATAGGACATGGCAAGTGAATATCGATGTTTTAGGAATCAGAGAACTAAAATGGATTGGAATGGGTGAATTTAACTCAGATGACCATTATATCTACTACTGTGGGCAGGAATCCCTTAGAAAAAATGGAGTAGCCATCATAGTCAACAAGAGTCCGAAATGCAGTGCTTGATGCAATCTCAAAAATGACAGAATGATCTCTGTTTCCAAGGCGAACCCTTCAGTATCACAGTAATCCAAGTCTGTGCCCTGACCAGTAATGCTGAAGAAGTGGAAGTTGAACAGTTCTATGAAGACCTACAAGACCTTCTAGCACTAACACCCAAAAAAGATGTCCTTCTCATTATAAGGGACTGGAAAGCAGAAGTAGGAAGTCAAGAAATACCTGGAGTAACAAACAAGTTTGGCCTTGGAGTACAGAGTGAAGCAGGGCAAAGGCTAATAGAGTCCTTCCAAGAGAACACACTGGTCATAGCAAACACCCTCTTCCAACTCTACACATGGACCTCACCAGATGGTCAACACCGAAATCAGTTTGATTATATTCTTTGCAGCCACAGATGGAGAAGCTCTATACAGTCAGCAAAAACAAGACTGGGAGCTGACTGTGGCTCAGATCATGAACTCCTTATTGCCAAATTCAGACTTAAATTGAAGAAAGTAGGGAAAACAACTAGACCATTCAGGTATGACCTAAATCAAGTCCCTTATGACTATACAGTGGAAGTGAGAAATAGATTCAAGGGACTGGATCTGATACACAGAGTGCCTGATGAACTATGGATGGAGGTTCATGACTTTGTACAGTAAAGAGGGAGCAAGACCATCCCCAAGAAAAAGAAATGCAAAAAAGCAAGGTGGCTGTCTGAGGAAGCCTTACAAATAGCTGTGGAAAGAAGAGTAGAAAAAAGCAAAGGAGAAAAGGAAAGATATTCCCATTTGAATGCAGAGTTCTAAAGAACAGCAAGGAGAGATAAGAAAGCCTTCCTCAGTGATCAATGCAAAGAAATAGAGGAAAACAATAGAATGGGAAAGACCAGAGATCTCTTCAAGAAAATTAGAGATACCAAGGGAACGTTTCATGCAAAGATAGGCTCAATAAAGGACAGAAATGATATGGACCTAACAGAAGCAGAAGATATTAAGAAAAGGTGGCAACAATACACAGAAGAACTGTACAAAAAAAAAGATCTTCATGACCCAGATATCACGATGGTGTGATCACTCACCTAGAGCCAGACATCCTGGAATGTGAAGTCAAGTGGGTCTTAGGAAGCATCACTACGAACAAAGCTAGTGGAAGTGATGGAATTTCAGTTGAGCTATTTCAAATCCTAAAAGGTGATGCTGTGGAAGTGCTTCACTCAATATGCCAGCAAATTTGAAAAACTCAGCAGTGGCCACAGGACTGGAAAAGGTCAGTTTTCATTCCAATCCCAAGAAAAGGCAATGCCAAAGAATGCTCAAATTACCCCACAGTTGCACTTATCTCACTTGCTAATAAAGTAATGCTCAAAATTCTCCAAGCCAGGCTTCAACAATACGTGAACCGTGAACTTCCATATGTTCAAGCTGGTTTTAGAAAAGGTAGAGGAATCAGAGATCAAATTGCCAACATCCGCTGGATCATCGGAAAAGCAAGAGAGTTCCAGAGAAACAGCTATTTCTGCTTTATTGACTATGCCAAAGCCTTTGACTCTGTGGACCACAATGAACTGTGGAAAATTCTGAAAGAGATAGGATTACCTATCCTGTCTATTACCTATACTTATCTTATTACCTATCAGACCACCTGACCTGCCTCTTGAGAAATCTGTATGCAGGTTAGGAAGTAACAGTTAGAACTGGACATGGAACAACAGACTGGTTCCATATAGGAAAAGG